GTTCTCTAATATGCAAATACATGTAGCTGAACTCTTTGAAGGTCGAAGTGCCAAAAGTTGCTTAGTACTGGTACGCAATCAATGGATGGAAGAAATAACAGAGAGATTTCATCCGTGAGCCATTTCAGTAGGCACGAAATAAAGCCCGTCACAGATCATTTTAGAATGTCAATATGCATGTATGTGAGGTTGACCTTATCAGGTAAGCCGTACATGTACGCAGACTCACATGTAGTGAACATTTGAGCTATTGGTAGTAGTCTGGGAGTCAGGCCACCAAAGGGTATTGTCTGGCGGATAAGCAAAATCTTACGCTAACATGACATCAGATTCTTTGTTCTCGAAAAACCTTGCCCTTTTGTAGTAACAAATTGGCTTACTGGAGCCTGCTTACTGGTTAAGAAAATTCCTGTAGGGACTTACTGGCTTCCAGATTCAGTGGATTAAGCATAAAAGCATGATTACCCTGAGAGGAGAATTTGTGTAGAAGGATTTGTTGCAGCCGTTGGAGAGTTTTCTGCATCCTCCTTGTCTGAGCTTATTGATGCATCAGTGATGTACGTGATACGTGCATCACTATGGCCGATGACAACACACATACATGTATGTCTATGTGAAGTGGTTGCAGCCACATTTACATTTAGTCACTGGCTTTCATAGATGCACATGTCTTTGCCAGCCATAGCCAAGACTTTTAGATGTTACCCAGCAAGGCTAGTTCTGCTACACTGATTGGATGTGGAAACCAACTTGCCTGCATCTAGTCTTTCACTGAGTGTCCATGCATAAACACAGTATAAGAGCGTATCTTGACAAGAGCAAACAGTTTAAACGTGAAGCATGATTCTGAGGCAAGCCCCAGTGTAATATTTCCCTGCTCTGTCAACATAAGAGGACGCTGTTGAAATATAGAAGAACTCGGGGTTTGCTCAGCAAGAGGGGAAAGTACAGTCTGCAGAGGCGTTCAGGAGAACAAGGGTTAAGTCCTGTCTCAAATGTGACCTTCCCTACCCATGACTTGAACTCACATGTACACCCCAGACCCCTGGCTAACTCACTGCAAGTAATCATTTCCGCTGGATTGCATTGGAGCTTGCCATAACTCAGGATGTGACTCATTGGTGGTCTCTGGATAAATTAAAGGGACGCTCCTCTTCCAGTAACTTGCTTGTACCCATTTACTCATTTTGTTTGGGAAGGCTAAGTGAAGAAATCACTGCTCAGCAAATGAGTAAATCAGGCGTAAATCAAGGTGGGCACCAGTTACAAGCAATACAGAATGAGATTTGAGTTGGTAACAGCTTGTTGCCAAGTGAATAATCTCTATGCCCACATCGTGTACATGTAGCTACGTGTATATTTGTAGCTTTCCAGCTTGGAAGTTGTGTGTCGTTCTTTCCTCAATAAAAGACTCTTGTTACATGTTAACTTGATTCTCTGTAACTAAAGGTGGCATCTTATTACAAAGTGTACACGACACACACAAAAATTATTATGCCCAGTCAAAGAAAATTAATTCCCTCTTAAGTGTTTATAAGGCTTTGAATGGTGTTTTTTGCCAATGTTTACTTTGGGACATGTTGTATTATTGACTACTTAGTTTTTGAAAATTATATGAGGTTGCACTTACAGCTATTTTAGCTGAAAATGGTCGGTGGAATAGCAGTTACGTTGGGTAATTGTTTCTGTGATCTTCTGCAAGTCTTGAGTTTTTTCTTAATTTCATGTTTTGAGTTGGAACAGCTTTTGAGGAGAAATTCCATGCTTCTGATGCTGGATAGTTTTGACTCTCGTTGAATTCAGACAGATACAAAAGATAAGTGTACATGTGCAAGAGCTTTAAAGTGTAGAGGGGCTGACTGCTCTTGTTGACCGGGAAGAACAGTCATAATCCTGCCAGAAATGACTGTGTAGGTTCCCATCCTCCTAGTAAAGGTCAACCCAAAATCTTGTGGGTTTTTTTAATTTTTATTTTATGGGAGACTGACAGCGCCACCCTGGACCTTCACGTACCCACATGATATCACTGCCTTCCCCACATGACAGGATCTGACTTCAGCGGGGCCGGGGGAACTGGTTGAGTAATTAGTGATCTCTCGTCTACTTAGGCCATCTCGCTGGGGCTTGGCAAGTCTGTTTTGGAGAGTTCTCGTCGCCACAGTCTTTGGGGCTTTTATCTTTTGGGCTGAATCCAAGAAGAATGGAGGTAAACGTGGATCACATCCAGACAAAAATAGCCGATGGTGGCCCAGAGGGGTTGGGAGAAAACCATCTGGAAGGGGCCGTGACAACAGATGGAGGTAAAAATGGTGACACCTTTGAGGTGCACCTTGGGACAGAGGTGGACAAAGTGGACAGGGAGACTGGAACGGCTAAAAATAGAATACCAGAGGAACACATGGCCAACAGTGTACTGGAAGGCAACGATTCAGCCAACAACAAAAACAAGAGTAAACAGAAGGAAGCAGGTGGTAAAGAGGTAAGGTTGGGAGAAGATTTGATTAAAGTAGCAGAAATCTTGCATGCTCTAGACAGGCAAGAATGTTGTTTAACTTAATGAACATACACTGTACAGTGCACCATTAACGAGATAAAGTAGAGATTCTGTGGGAGACTGTTCTGCTTGTTATTCAAAGGTTTTAAAAGTAGGCATTGGACATTTTATAAAATCAGTTGAAACTTCGACCATTTGGGTCCAAGGTTTCAACCCAATCAGGCATGTACTTCAGGAAATACATAAAATGTAAAATGTAATTTGACTCCTCATCTGATGATGTTATCATCGCATCAGGTACATTTTTGTCTAGAACCCTTCCTGTCCTTGTTATCGGCAACGTTTGAAATCAATGGGATGTATACAGATATGTACTTCAGGAGATATAGGGCTTTATAAACAGTGCACCTTTAATGTCACGTGACTTGTCTCCTGATGACGTTATTATCACATGAGGTCAAAATTCCTCTAAAGCACTCCCATCTCAATATATGTGGAAGATTTGAACCGGATCGGACATGTACTTCAGGAGATACATATAGGGCTTTAAAAATGCACCTTTAATTATGAAAGTGAACATATAAGACATTTGGCCACAAGTACTGATACAGTAATTCCATGGAATATGGAATTGTAGCCGGTACCCCTTTTGGTACCCGGTATCTTTCAGAATGTGGAATGGAATTCCATGTAGCTGTGGCATTTCCCTAGTAAAGGCCATTGTTTTTGCATACTAGTCAAGGACAGTTTACATACATGTACATTGAAATAGCACATGGAATAAAAGCATGACCGTGGCTATCAGTGTACCTTGTACATAGGACAAAACTACAGACTCCAGGTACATGTGTAGCTACATCATGGCTTCAGTATTTCCTCTTGAAGGTGCAGCCCATCATTTGTACATGTATTACTTTCTTCTGTCCTGTATGTGCTCAAAATCAACAAAAAGGTGCCTAAAAACTAACGTGAATCAGATGAAGTGTTAGCTCATTGAATGCTGTATAGTGTGAGAAAAACAATATTTGAGTAGCTTGATTTCAAATCAGAAATTGCCGATGTTTGAACTGTGTGGCGTATTCAGCATCCTGAACAAATTCTCATTCAGCCAAATGCAGCTACGCAGTGATGCACACTGAACCAACGAATACTAATAATTGTGCACGTCGTCTTGATGATTGCGTATGCTTTTCCAAATTAAAAACAAACTACCAGGGTGGCAATTTCCAAAACTGCATGTTTAGACGCATCATTGAAAATGGCTTTCTTTCACTGTTATGTTCAAAGAACAGCTTACCAGAAAGAATGATTTCACAGGGAACCAAGTATGCTTTTCAACTACAATTTTGTCAGTTACCGGTATATTTTGAAAGTAAAGATAAGAAACTCAGTGTGGTGGACGCTAGACTGAGAGAAGGTTTTCAGGATGACGAGAGCATCCAGGTTGAAACGTCAAGTTCCGGTTATCCTCAGTTCATTTCACAACCACCAGGCTGATGGAGGAGATCTATCCCTCAAAGTGTACCTGTAAACCTTTTCTCACTCTCAGTTCTGTTTTGAATAGCTGGTAAAAATGACAGACTAGACCTTTAACCCTGTAATTTATCATGAAATCCTACTGCACAACACAAACAGGTACACATTACCTGTATATTTACTTGTTGTAATATAATATCTCTGTCTGTTTGACTCCACGCACTTGTGGTTTGCATGTGGATATCGAAGTACGTGGCCGTTTTCCAATACTCGACCTCGGCTCTGTCTCAGGCTTCAACTGTTTTTTTTTACTAGCTGACTTTGAAGCTGTAAGCGCAGTAATCAGTCTAATAGTGCCACGGAACATCAAAAAAGATGCAAGAAAGCCAAACTTTACAGTAATCCAATGTAATTTAAACGCTTCAGGCCCACAGTTCGGGAATGAAGCCCGAGATGGAGACGAAGTTGGGTTTTGGAAAACGGCTCATGTAGCGTGTACTTGTATAGCCCAGTATGAAGTCTGCAGTAAATGCAATTGTACATTGCAAGAGTTTGTGCACCTGTAAATGCACATCTGTGCTGAAAAATATGGCAACCACCCGGGGACGGATCCACAATTTTTTTGGGGGGAGGGAGGTCACGTCCCTCTGACTTTTTAAAAAGTTTCAATTCTTGTAGACAAGCAGACACATACTGGTACATGTACGTAATGCGTTTACATTATTACTGATTCACAAATAATAGCCCTTACTGGATTTTGTCGTTTTTATCACTGCTATAATTGTTATTTCATTTATTTATTCTTTTTTTGTGTCAGAGAGGGGATTGTTGGCAACACTCCCCTCTAGATCCATTCCTGACACCTACAATAAACTATTTTCGTGTTGCATCTTTCTTAACACAGAGTTGAGCCCACTTTGGGAAGGTTCAAATAATAATTTACGACCTTTGCCCATGAGCCTGCCTGTGTTTCTTGTATCACTTCATCAGTTGTAAATATTTTCTTGTCAGAACCTAAAATATGAGCCCTTGCTGATCATCACTGTTGTTGGCGTGAGATCTTGAGAGAAATGCAGTTGTTTGTTTTGTGAATTCCAGAACCTCCTCTGCCCAGAACACGGTTGAAATGTCTACAGTTCCCAGCCCTTGGTATTCGGAATGCATCAATCTTGCAATCATTGTATATTTGTGTGGATGAAAAAGGGGGACGAGGATCAGGAACCAAATCTGACTTTTTTTTTTTCTTGCGCCCCTTCTGGCTACTGTCACATCAGATTGCAACATCATTTGCCTGGCAGAGCTTGTATCTTCCTGATCAGTATACCTGCAAAGATGTTTGAGATGCCTACGGGATTGGTGGATCTCATGATACGGGCCCGGAAGTGATCTGTAGATCTGGCTGAATTAAAAAAAGAACTGCATCAAATTTCATGTTGGTTTGGCATCTTAGCTTCAGAGTAGAGACGAGGCAAAGATCTTGGTCTTCGGTCCTGGGAATTAGAGTGGTCATTGCCTTGATGTTCATTCTCAGTGATGCTGGTGACTGTTGGTCTCCCTGCAAGGTCAGAATTCTGGAGCTCATGTGAGAGTGCTCTCTGATAACAACTTCTGGCAATATAATTCTTTTAGCCTTTCCTAAGCACATACATGTACTGAAAAAAATTCTGCTGTCAAGAGTTTTGTCCATAACAGCAAGAAACGTTGCTAAGCAACAGCATTCTCTGTCCACCGTCTTGGTGATCATTGGTTCTGATCCTTTGCCCGTGCAACGAGGGATGTTATGGCCAAGTCGAAGACTGCAGTGGACAAACCACCGGAGTGGGCTGTACCCATCGCCTTTCAGCTTGGGCTGTTTGGTATGGGCTCCAAAGAGCCAGAATCCCAGCCTGTTCATGCGACCAAGGAGCCTGACATGCCGCCACCGGGGCAGGTACGGTAAATCCCCTCCAAACCTGGGATACGAGTGTTTATTAGATGTGCTTGCGTGCTGATGTGCCCAGACATGTACTTCGCTCTCTGATCCTAGCATTCAAGGGAAATTGAAGAGGATATGCAGGAATGTGTGATTTTGATTAATGCTGGTAATTGTTAGCATGTTTATGTGGGTCACAATTCAGGCAAGGACAAACTGCTTTTGTCCTGTAACAGTGGAAAAAAAACTTTGAATTTATGACTGTGTACGTCAAACTGAAATGCAGCTGTACTTGTTAATGTAAAACTCTATGGATGAAGGACCAGGTTCCTTTGAAGCTCAATTGTCAGAAGTAAACCAGTTTAAAAAAAATTCTGTTTAGTTGGTCTATTGTACATGCATAAGATTTTTGTTTCCTCCTTCAAAAGTCCTTCCCTGTTTGATTAATGTCAACACCCCATATAGTGTTTGAAATGGAGGTGTGGCTTAGTGTGATCAATTTTGTGCTTTTCAGAGGAGATTGAAAGGATGGAACAGTTTTTGTGCGATGATGAATGGTGGGAAACGGTTCCTGTTTTTTTGTTCTTCAAAAAAATAAATATACAGCGTTGTGTGCTTATCTTGAGATTTGGAATGGGTTTTTGTCCTCTTGTTGTATCTGAGTTTTGGGTAATATCTGTTTCTTCTTGTATTTAGTGTTCATACCCTCTTTTAGATTTTATTTTAAAAAATATTTCTTTTACTATGGCGGAAATCCTTTTGTTAGATGAGATGAAACCTTTTAATCAGTTGTTAACGTTGGGAAATTCAAAATTACTCTTTTGTCCAAACTAAATTTACAAGTACGGTAGGTACAGACATATTTACTGTACATGTACTCAACAAATTTGTCCACATGCGTAACAAGTAGGCTTTCCTGTTTAGGCAAATTCAGAAGTGTGTTTTTTTTAAGGAGCTGTCTGAGGCAGCAACTCCGGAGGTTATGGCTTGAGATATTCCAGGATGCATGATATTTGGATTGTTTGTTTTCATAAGTGTAACTTGATTGAGTTTATTCAGCCCACCAGAGTGTGAGAGAAGCAAGACAGCAGAAGCTGAAGGAAAGAGAAAGGGCACTGCGGGATGGATGTATAGGACATTCCATGCCACTGCTGTCTGGCCTCTTAACAAGATGTGATGGATGCTCTGTCTCTTGATGGATAGTGGTGATTTTGGGCCACTTAGTCTCTGAAGTGTTTGCACTGGCAGGGGGGCAAAATGCCCTGACCAAATGAAGAACTTCCAGGGCAGGTCTGGGGGTGGATGGATGCTGCATGAAGGGGAACAGGGGGGAGAAAACCAGGCTTTGCTTTAACATCATCCTGGAATAGTTGGTGTTCGGTCTATATCAGATCTTGTGTTAATTTTTTTGCCTTTGACAATTTTAAATTCTTCATTTCAATTATCTGCATCACATGAAAGATCGTCATTGTAATTTATGGGTTTCTATTTCTTAAATGCATGTTATACAAAGTATGTATCTTTCTTGGTACATTGTACCTGCTGAGATGTCCTTGATACTTGGTACAAACACTCTACTGTACAGAATATTTGACTACAACGTCCGCTTTGGGCTTATGTCCAATAAAATGTCCAAATTTTGTGTGGTGTTATGCTGTACATGCATACGTGATGCAATCATGAAATGTAATTATGTGTCAGTTTAGTAATATTACACCATTCGGACATGTACATGTACACCTCATTTTTGAACTAACATCCAAGACCATATAGTCACCAGGTCCTTTATTTTGACACTTACTATGAAAACAACTCAGACTTGACAGTAGGTGGCAAAGTGAGGGACTTGACAACTCTATGATTTTGGACATTGGTTATGATCATTGATGTTCACACGTACAGTGGTTATTTTGTTGTAATTCGGTTGACCAAATTTCCATGTCACAGCAGAAACCACATGTACATTGTAATCTGCATAGATGTGATGATTACTTCCATGCACGGAGTACATGTATGGGTACATGTATGTAAACATTGGAAAAAGAAATCTATGTCATTTGCAACATTTGTCCAGTTGATTTACCATGCCCAACAAAACCTCGGGGTTTGTGTATACATGTACTAGTACCGTATGTAGGACATGTTCACTGCTGAAGTGTTATTTTAACACAGAACAAATATGGTTGGCCCATACTATCTGGCAGACTATTTAATTTGTCCTTGGGGCATTTTTACATTTGATCACATCTCAGGAAGTCTAATTTTTTCCAGGTACCGGTATGGCTATTTGTATTCGTTACAGGTGCACGTGCATGTAGCTGTTCTTGTCCCTTTATAACTGAATCGTTGGCTGAACATTGAAATGTTTAAATAGAACAGTATATGAAAGGATGTACCGATATTCTTTCTAAGTTCAATGTTGGCCCTCATCTGCACTGGTTATATTCAATTAACTCATTATGCCTTGTGTACAAGTGCTCATTTTGGCCCGACTAAAGCAGTTCCATACACGTACATGTACTTGTACTTACCGTACTTTCCTTGTAATGAAAAATGATTGAATTGTCACGATCCACTGCAGTAGTCATGACCCACTTGACGAACAGAATTCCCTGATTTGTCTTTTCTTTCCTCTTCAGAATATTGAGGTATAAGTAAGATGATACACAGTAAAACAGGAAAGCAATTTTGTAAATGCATTCTACTGAACATGATATTTGTATGTTACTTCAGGTTACATGTAATTGATTGACTCTCTTAGACGTCAGAATCTCATAATAAAATAGTACAAGTGGTAATTGATCAACCAGTTCTAAAGTGGATGAGTACCTCGTGGGTAATGAAATCTTGATGCTTCAGGCAGAATCATTCTCAAAGTTAAAGATACACATGTACATGTATGTACCTTTGGTTGTAAACTTAGCAAGTGACATTTGGGGAGGAGGTCTAACCCAACCAAGAATTTCTTGATTTACAACTGTACATGTGTTTGTTCGTTGGCTCTGTCACAGCTGTCATAGATAGTCAGGCTTAAATTTCTTTCAGAAAAGTGGTTTATTGTGTGCTCAGGTTGCCTGCAGTGGTAACCAGCAGGTCTTTGGGTTAAAGCTCTGCGTTTGTTGCTAAAAATGTAGACCGCGTTGCTCAATTTGTTTCGTGATTCACAGACATTACTTGTGTCAGTGAACTTGATATTCTTTTTGAAAACCCTTACATGTGCCCTATTGTGGATGTGTCTATCATAATTCACCATTCCTGATATTTGACAGTCTGACATTTTGGCATTGTTTCTACACTTCTTGACTTGTACCCTGGATTACGAGTTGACACTGACCTTCATGTACTGCTGGATGCACACCTACATACATGTATGTACTTCTCTTGAATGTGTCAGCGTCTATGAATAATTGAGTGAAGTGATATCGCTGATGATGATGATGATGTCTGTATGCAGTCATATGCAGATCCTGTTTATCTCTAGCGGTGGTAAGGTTGGCCCAGTTTATGTACTTGCCATAATTAATCAAACCCCAGAAGCAGTGTTGGACAGTGTGTTGTTTATCAAATCAGAGTGAGCAGGGCATGTCCATGTGCTGGAGATATTTTCTAGCCTGGTAAGAGGCTTGCTCTAATGGGACTCCTATGTTAGCCTGTGTAGGAGGTGGCTTCAATCAGAAAAAGTCTTTTCCCAGGCGTAAAACTAAAATGAATCCCTACATGTATGCACTGTCTGTATGTGCCATGTCCTTTGTTAGCCCATACATGTACATGTATTATGTAGGGCCTGTGTTATCCTTATAATACATGTATCTGTATGTTTTTGAGCATTGTCACATGCATACATGTACATACCGGTACGTGTACATTATGTACATGTACAAGTATTGTACATGTACATAATGTACATGTACATACTGGGTTCTTGCCTCTTAAGTTTCTTAGTTTCTACTCACAGCCTAGGAAACTACTGTCATGCATTGAAGTCCATCATTTGTGAAATTTGCACTTTACAGAAATTATATGCATGTAATTAAAATACCATTCTCCTGAAGTCCCAGCCTTATTTTCCTGTAACTTGACAACGTACAAAAATGACTAATTAATGCAAAGGTGCCAAAGAGAACTGGATTGCTGTCATGCATTTAGACCGGGAAATCCCCCAGACAAGCGCGTTTCAGCTGTACAGAGAATCCTTAGTCGTTTGTTTTGTTTGCTGCATTGTTTGAACTGCCCCTTAACACAGTTTTAAACTTCGTGCCCATGCAAAGACAAGACTTTAATTAAAGTGAGGCTAAACTAGCATGTGGATACACGGGAAATGCACGAAGCCATTAGTTGGCGGCTTCCACAGACACGTGCATTGCTTCCAGACATAGCCAAGTAAATGTAGGTGAGACACGGCTTAGTTGTCAAACTGTGTGGCAGTGCCAGATGGAAGAGGACCGGTCTACGCCTTTGCACTCTTTCCCTACTGTAATCACACCCCCCAAGCTTCTAAGCTACTTTCTAGCTTCATCCGTTCCTGACTTCTGAGGTGGAAACAGATTCTGGCGTGTCTTGCCAGGACGTTAAGCGATTGAAGGCGATTGCCAAATCAGATGGGCATCAGACCCATTCTCTTAAGTGGTTGAATGCCTCTGAGCAAGAAGTCCCAAGCAATACTCTAACGGGGCTTTACTGCAGTCTGTCAACTTGTTTGCCAGGAAAAAGTATCTTTTACTCTTGTTGAAATTTATTTTTTTTTTAAAATTATTGCACTGTATCTTGTCATTTGTTTGACATAGTACAGGTCATAGATTTACAGGTACATTGTAATTCATTGCCCTGTTTGTTCAAACTCACTGAAAGGACTGTTTGCTGCATGCATTTTTTTCAAGAAATACATTCTAAAACGTAATTTTCAAAATCTTAATCCCGAGAGAATGAACTTTCCTCAGAACTCATACACAAAGATGATTTTGTGGTACAATGGCACCCACTTTTCCCCCTGCATGTACAAATGTTTACATGTGGTTAAG